CTAAGTGATTTCTTTTTAACTCCTGTATCAGTGGGGCACTCTAAGCAGCGGGAGTGACTTTGTTAGCCCAGCTTGGAGCTCTAGTTTTTGGCTCTCATGTAAATAGAAATTAACACCTACTGGGCACGGTGGCTCACGCCTGTAATACCAGCACTTTGGGAGGCCAAGGCGGATGGATCACCTGAAGTCAGGAGTTTGAGACCAGCTTAGCTAACATGGTGAAACCCTGTCGCTACTAAAAATATAAAAATTAGCCAGGTGTGATGGCATGCGACTGTAGTCCCAACTACTCCGGAGGCTGAGGCAGGAGAATCGCCTGAACCCTGGAGGTGGAGGTTGCAATGAGTTGAGATGGTACCACTACAGTCCAGCCGGGCGACAGAGCAAGACTCTGTCTCAAAACAACAACAACAACAACAAAAAGCACCAGGCCAAAACAAAAGTTTTCCTCAGGCAAGGTTTCATAGGCTTGCAGCTGGAGCAACACACGGGAGCATTGTACGGGAAAGGGATCCTGGTGCTAGCTCCTGGAAGGACTTGGCTCTTGTCATTTTAAGGTAGCTGAGGCAAGAAAAAAAGGAGTGGCATGTAGGCACGTAGAGATGGGGAACTTTTAGCACCTGCGCAGTTTGACCATGTGTTTCTCATGCATATGTCTCATTAGCGCGTTAAATCTCCAGCCCTGGGTGTGATTTTTAGTATTACGATATGATTATAATGAGGAAAACTTGGTGAAAGGTCAATGCTGGAGTCCATCTTGTCTTCAGCCAACTGCACCTGGTCTGGTTCTTGTCAGGAATGCCAGAGGCCTGCTTTTAGCAACCTTGGGAGACAGCACTCGAAGAGGTAAATGGTTAGTTTCTTATTTTGATGGTTACAAATTCAGCCTGGTCAGCTAACTTAGGAGAGGGGTCCCCCTTCGCTATGTGATGTGGGTCAGCTCGTTAAGGGATACAAGAAGGCAGCAGAGGGAATATGCCTGGACATGTGAAGCTCAGGGGGTCTTGGTGACCTAGTCTCTTGTCTTCTCTATACTGTCTTAGGTCAGGACATGGGGCGGTCATGGAGAGCCTGTCTCTGCTCAGGAATGGTGGGGCTGGGGTTTGGGGCAGGGTGGTTCGGTTTGTCTAACCTGGCTTGTCTTCTAAGGAGGTGGTAAGCGTCATGTTTCAGGATAGTGAGCCTCCCCCCACAAAAGCTTTCCATCTACACTCGTGGGCATGTCAGTGGTGTGACATGCCATCTGAGTGACTCCACTTTGCTGGTCATTTTATGCCCAGCAGTGCTTATATAGTCCAGCAGTTCACACTGGAAAATACAGAAATCACAGGACCACTCCATCTGTAAGCATTATGTTCACAGGTTAGTGTCACAGAATGAAGGGGCAGGAGAAGATGCTAGGGGCCAGTCCCTAGTCTGGCACGACAGAGCCCCTGCCCTTACCAGCATGTGGATCAGCCAGAAAGATGGTGGGGGGCTGGAGCTGCTCATCCTAGCTGCTCTCCAGAGCCGCTTCTGTGTCTGTCTTCCAGGTTGGTGGTGACATCCCATTAGTGGCTTGAAACTGACAGTGGTGACAGTATTTATTTTATTTTATTTATTTATTTTTTGAGACAGAGTATCACTCTTGTTGCCCAGGTTGGAGTTCAATGGCATGATCTTGACTCACTGCAACCTCCACCTCCCAGGTTCAAGTCATTCTCCTGCCTCAGCCTCCCAAGTAGCTGGGATTACAGGCATGCACCACCACACCTGGCTTTTTTTTTTTTTTTTTTTTTTTAAAGTAGAGACAGGGTTTCTCCATGTTGGTCAGGCTGGTCTTGAACTCCCAACCTCAGGTGATCCGCCCGCCTTGGTCTCCCAAAGTGCTGGGATTACAGGTGTGAGCCACTGCACCTGGCCGACGGTATTTATTTGAAACTGACGATGGTGATGATATTTAGATGAAATTGGCCCATACTATCATACTATAGATCAGGGCTTTGTTTACCAGTGCAGCACTAGCTGTGAACAAGTGCCGTGTGATGATGAAAGTCCTCACCAGGTATAGGATGGCACAGCCTGGGCTGGGACTGACTCTACTGGGTAGAGTTAAGGAGGCAGGGCTTACACAGTGTTGAAGGATGAGCTGTGAAGACAGAGTGGTAAAGGGAGGCCCAGACAAGTGTGGGATGGCAAGACATATCCTGTGGTTCCGTGAAAGGAAACTGTGGATGTGAAGGCACTTGGCAACTTAATACAAGGTGTCAAGCAAAAGGGTATCGAGTAAACAAATCCAACATAGGATGTATAAAGTGAACTGATTAGGGCTGGGGAGGGGTACCCATATCATAACACATTAACCTTTGCTCTTTAGCTGGCAGGATCTCTAGGGATTTCAAATGTGGCTCAACAAGGCCTTTGCCCAACTCTTTGGTAAAAGGGAACCCAGGCTTTGGAGAGGGACTTGGCATAAGGAAGTGAATGGGCTGCAACACTCTGGGGCTGCCAACTAACCTGGAAATGTTGACAAAGGTTGTGCCCTGTGTTTTGGTGGTGGGACGGTGGGAGTGGCAGGGAATTTGGCAGGAAATGGGACCAGGAAAACAAGTGGAGAGGGTCAGATAGAGCAGGCTGAGCGTGCACTTCTTCATGAGCGTCAGAGCCAGGCAGCCCTGCCTCAAAGCTTGTTTTGCTGTCCTTTGTGTCAGGTGGGGTCCTGGGTGCCATGAGTTGCTCAGTGAGCCCCCATTGGTCTCTGTGCCTCAGACTGGGGTGAGTGTGTCACCGGACTGTTTCCACAGCTCGGTTGGTGCCACACTGTCCCGAAGGTTCTGAAGCAGACTGAGGTCACCAGGCTGTCTGGGCAGACGGAGCTGCCAGAGTCCCGTCCCTCCCTTTGATGGGCCTGTTATCAAGGTTGTTTTGCTCCCGGAGCTCATCACAGGCCTCGTTTCCCAGCCAGCCACCCACCCCCATCAGCCCAGAGCCCCCTGGGACACAGGCAGATGTAGGCGGTCAGTGTGGAGAGACTGCAATTCAGGAAGGGGATGGGCTGAAATTTCTTGGGCCAAGAAACTGGCCCGGGACTCACCTTGGCTAAGCCCCTACTAATGACAGACTGATGTTTTTTTATTTTTATTTTTAGACATTCTTGCTTTGTGGCCCAGGCTGGAGTGCAGTGGTGTGATCTTGATTCACTGCAATCTCTGCTTCCTGGGTTCAAGCAATTCTTGTGCCTCAGCCTCCCAAGTAGCTGGGATTACAGGCATGCACCACCATGCTTGGCCTATTTTTGTATTTTTAGTAGAGACAGGGTTTCACTATGTTCATTAGGCTGGTCTCGAACTCCTGACCTCAAGTGATCCGCCTACCCTGGCCTCCCAAAGTGCTGGGATTACAGGTCTGATCTGTAAACACCTGGGATTACAGGTGATTACACCTAGCCTGATGATTTTGTTGTTGTTGTTTGTTTTTTTGAGATGGAGTCTCACTCTGTTGCTAGGCTGGAGGGCAGTGGTGCGATCTGGGCTCACCGCAACCTCCGCCATCCGGGTTCAAGCTATTCTCCTGTCTCAGCCTCCCCAGTAGCTGGGATTACAGGCGCCTGCCACCACGCCCGGCTAATTTTTGTAGAGATGGGGTTTCACCATGTTGGCTAGGATGGTCTTGATCTCTTGACCTCGTGATCTGCCTGCCTCGGCCTCCCAGTCAGACTGTTTTAAGAGTAATTTGTAAAAGGAAGCTGGAAATTTGGAGTGAATAAACGGGTGGTTAGACAAATGCTGTGTGATTTAGGCTGCAGTTTACAAAACAGAGTGGCTGCGTCCCAGGCTGCACATTCTGAGGTGTGGGCAAGTGGGGACCTTGGCCACCCCTGCACTGGGAGCTCTGGCCCAAAGGCAGACCAGGGTCATGAGGCTAGGCCCTTCTTAAGAGGGTGGAGGGCTTTTGGAGGTGCTAAGGGCATGAGGTCACGGAGTGGTGCCTGCTGCTGGCCTTCAAGCACGCAGGGCCCGTTTGGTGGTGGTCCTCATGAAGTAGTCACACCAGTGGCTGCTTAGGGTTCCCTCAGGCACCCATTCTAATTGTCCCTCGGCATGCATGGGACCACACCTAGGGCAGGAACTGACAGCTGACAAGTGTTGTGTTCCCGGCGTTGCTCCTTCAGCTGGGATGGAGCCCTTGGCGGCATAAAAGGGTAAACTGAGTCCAGGTGAGATCGCCACAGGGTCTCACCCAGGACAGTGAGGGGCTCACAAGAAGCACATCCCTGCTCACAATTCGCACTCAGACTCACCCGTCCACCGATGGTGCTGCCATCACTGCTGCACATTTGTTCTCCATCTTTCTCACATTTTTGCCAAGCCGAAGGCCGAGCTCACCTAACCTGGATGCGGTCAATGAGATTGCACTGCGTGCCCCCTCCCGCCCCTAGTGCAGCGGCGGTGTGAATGCACACCCGCCCTTGCTTGCCCTCCCTGCCTGGCTGCCAGCTCTGCTCCTGCTGTTCCCTGTGCCCATGGCGCTCTCTTGCTTATTCTGTTAAGGCTGACCTACCCTCAGAGGCCCACCTTGGCCATCCACAAGCCTCCTTCTGAGAACTGAGCCCTTTCCCTGAGTTCCCACAGCACGCTGTGTGAAGCTCTAAACTTTCTCCAGGCTGAACTTAGCTGAGCTTATTCGTGGCTGTTCCCGTCCTCAGGACCGACACAGCAAGTGCTCCGTAAGGGCTTGTTAAACTACTCTCCTGGAACTCCTAGCCCCCGCCAAGAGTCCACCCTGACTACCTCCTGCAAGAGCACTGAGCTCCTGGGTGCCAGGCCTAGCTCGGAATTTTCACAGACACCAGCTCATTTAAGTTGCATAACCCTGGAAGGGGTTGTTGCCTGATGAGGAAACAAATCAGAGACGTTCAGTGACTTGTCCAAGGTTACAGAGCCTTGGAGCTCTGGATTCAAACCCAAGTCACTGTGACTCAAGACCAGTGTTTTTCCCCGTTGTAAGCAGACACAAAAGAGTAACAGTCCTTTATCATTTATACTGTATTCTCACGTACATTATTTCATTTGATCCTCACAACAGCCCTGTGAGGTAGGTAGGGTTATGTATTACTGTTATGCCCATTTCACAGATGAAGAAATGGAGGTGGCTCAGTAAGGTGAGTGACTTACATAAAGTCACACAGCGTGTTAGAGGCTTCACTGCTTCTGCAATTTCTCTAAAGTCAAGCTGCTTGGATTAGGGAGCACCGAAAAGATGGACAGTTTTATGGAAAAGGAAAAAGGGCAGTGGTGACTTGTAAGATTTCTTCCTCACATTGTTTTGTTGTGACCACAGCTTTTGCTACTTGCTCTAAACTGGGTTCTCCATGAAGGGCTTTCCCAAGTACTGTTGGCCTGGGACAGCTGTTTGTTTTTGGGATGGAGTCTCATTCTGCCGTCCAGGCTGGAGTGCAATGGCACACTCTCAGCTCACTGCAACCTCTGCTATCTGGGTTCAAGAGATTCTCCTGCATCAGCCTCCCAAATAGCTGGGGTTATAGGCGCCTGCCACCATGCCCAGCTAATTTTTGTATTTTTAGCAGAGGTGGGGTTTCACCATGTTGGCCAGGCTGGTCTTGAACTCCTGACCTCAGGTGATCTTCCCACCTCAGCCTCCCAGTGTTGGGATTACAGGCATGAGCCACTGCACCTGGCAGAAAAGCTGTCAGAGAGACTCCTGGGTCCCATTTAGGGGGGAAAGGGCCCTTACTGCTCAAGGGAGCTGGCTCTGCCCATGGCCCAGTGTACAAGCTCCCTACTCACAGGGCTTATCTACGGGAAGCCCCTTTCTGGGTCCACCTCCCATGGGTGCCTGTGTCACCAGGCTTCCTTGGCTTTGTCTGAGGACCCCTGCCCAGGGGGAGGACCCTGGGACTCTCAAGGCCAAACTCACTTTAGGGATGAATCATGACGTGCAGTTTGGAGGCCTGCACAGCTCATCACCCGGTGGGAAGCACTGCTTGGGTTGCTTGCCCTGGATGGCACCCCACGGAGACCCAGGGGTAGGACACAGGACTGCAGGGGAAGGCCACCTTCCTGAGGGCAGGGTCTTAGGGGCCACACATTTACCCTAAGGGCACTATAATGGTCCACACCACTCCTGGGCTCCTTGCTGCCCAGCACGCTCGGAGACCCTGTCTCTTTCCTCCGGATCTCCTCAGGGGCCGCGAATCTTCCTCTTCCAACAGAAAATGGTCAAAAGGCATATGGAGCCATAGCTTGTGGGGAAGGTGGGTGAAATGGGGGTCACAAACGAGATGAAGCTATAACAAAAGGGAACGACTTACAGGGGATAGAAAACAGCTAACTTTGATTCTGAAGACAGATCCCAGAGGGGAATCTGAATTCTGAGTAATAATGTTTTCAGAAAAATTTCTGGCCTCTCAAGGTGACTATTTTGAAAGCAAAGATATGTAACTGGGTGAAAGCGAAGGTCTGCCATCAAGATCCAGCAAGTGGCAAAACAGATTTTGGCTCAATATAGGGAAGAACTTTCTAACAGTCAGCACCGTCCAACCATGGCAGGAGCTGCCTTGGGGATGGCGCACTACCTGTGAGCTGAGGTATGCAAGCAGGCCAAGGTGATCACTTGCTGGTACCCAGGGAGAGGCGCTCATCCTCAGATGTGCTGGGGTGTTCTAGGGGTGGGGGAGGGAGAAATAATCATCGAATTATTTCTAACCCTGAGAATCCATAATATATTTGTTTAAAATGACCTGTTTCAATGATACCTGAAATTTTTGGGAAAACAATGACAAAAGTCAGGCGACAGACTGGATTTGGAAGCGCCTTTCGTTACACTGGCTCCAGACTCTTGCACATCTTTGCAGAGATAGCAGACCCTTTCTGAAGCCAGGAATCCCTTGATTCAGCCCCATCAAGAGGCACATTCCTACCTTCTGAACCCTGCCTGGACACTCATTCCTCTAGACCCTGCCACACCTCATCTCTGTCCCCCAGGAGGGGACACTAACAGGGCTCTGAGAATGCATGGCATTCCAAGCCAGCCAAACACGGTCACCCCGGGCAAACATTCACAATTATCGATGCACCCTAGGGAGGGAGGAGCAGGTGTGACAGGAACTGCTGGGGACTTTATGTCCTGGTTAACTAGAGGTAGCCTCTTGTTCTCATCCCATCCTCTCCAGCAGGGCCTTCTTACAGATGGATAAACGTGGCACTGGCTAGTGGTACAGACGGGTGGAGCCCAGGAGAAAGCCGCCACTCTTTTGTCCCGGCTGGAAAATCCTCCTGTGGCCTCCTTTAGTACACATCAGCTGACTCTTCACTTGTCATAATAGCCCATCTGCAGCTCAAAATGGCAAGAAAAAAGGTGGTTCTGTTCAGAGGACAATGGATTCCAAAAGGTGGACTTCATCATGTGGGGAATCAAGTCCTGCTACACAATTAATACAGATTAGTACAGTCCCCGCCTCGCACCACTGGCGAGATGCCCTCCAAGACCTGGCTGACATGAGCTTCTTGGGACTCCCCGTCTCCAACGCTGTTGGGGTCCTTTTACCTGTACCGTATTAATCGAATAATCTTATTGTTCATAAAATCCAGAGCATGTGGGTGAGAAGAATCGATGCAGAAGCCATCGCTCAGAGCGATTTTCAGTACCTCCTCCACGAAGACCTGGAAGCTGTTGATCTGCTTGTTGGCAGGCACCACCCAGAGCCTCTTGAGGTTCTGCTTGGTGTACTCCTCCTCTGGCAGGCCCTCCACATTGGCCACCCAGTCCAGAGTCAGGTGGTTGGGGTCCTGCAAGTGGCTGGTGATGGAGGAGAGATTGCCATTGGAGCAGTAGTAGAGCTTAGAGCCAAGGAGTTTGAGGAAGAGGCAGGAGGTGCTGAAGATGTTGGCGTTGAAGACCTCCATGCTGGAGGAGGAGAGGCTGTAGATCTGGGGCGCCTCGCGCACAGTGAAGTGGACCGTCTGCACATGCTGGTTCAGTGTGATGTTGAGCATAGCATTCTTCTCGGCCTTGGAGAGCTCCACTTCCTTCTCCTGCAGGGCCTCAATCAGGGGCTGCACCTGGTAGAAGTCGGCCTCCCTGCGGAGCAGGCCCATCTCCTGGAAGTCCTCGGGCAGGTCAAGGTGGGAGGTCCGCAGGAAGTTGAGGATATAGCGGAACACTTTGCCGTCACGGTCAATGAAGCAGTTGCCCTGGCTGTCCCTCTTGGTGGGCATCTTCCCGCTGAACATGGCACCTAGCATGGAGTCAGGGAAGCTGGTCAGGGTTGCCAATGAGGTTGTATAGAGCTTCCCCCCGACGTTCAGCGTGATGGGGTCGGACATGGCAGGAGACTGGGTTGCTGGAAGTGGCCCTGGAGAGGGTGACAAGTGAGAAATGACTATAACCAAACCTCATCTGAGAACTCACAGTCCTTAACTCCTTATTGTACATCAAGCCTATGCCCTTGGGATTGAAATGAATTAATACCTGATGAATGGGTGATAATTGTTAACACTGTGCAAAGTACATTAGCTTCACTAGGGAGAAAGGAGAAAGGGAAAAGGAAACAGGAAAAGAAAGGAAAAGACCCCTAAAGCCTGGGTCCCCCTGCCGATGTTCTGTTCTAATTGGTCTGGAATACTGCCCCAGCACTGGTTTTTTGAAAGACTTCCCTTAGTGATTCTAAATGTTCAGTTAGAATAGAGAACCACTGGTCTAAAGAAAGAAAGGGGGCCGGGCGCGGTGGCTCAAGCCTGTAATCCCAGCACTTTGGGAGGCCGAGATGGGCGGATCACGAGGTCAGGAGATCGAGACCATCCTGGCTAACACGGTGAAACCTCGTCTCTACTAAAAAAAATACAAAAAACTAGCCGGGCGAGGTGGCGGGCGCCTGTAGTCCCAGCTACTTGGGAGGCTGAGGCAGGAGAATGGCGTAAACCCAGGAGGCGGAGCTTGCAGTGAGCTGAGATCCGGCCACTATGCTCCAGCCTGGGGGACAGAGCGAGACTCCGTCTCAAAAAAAAAAGAAAGAAAGGAAAACGTGCCTGGACTGAAAGCTATGCTACGTGTTTATACATATATTTGCTTGCATAATAGTTGTATCAGCTGGGCACGGTGGCTCACGCCTGTAATCCCAGCACTTAGGGAGGCTGAGGTGGGTGGATCACCTGAGGTCAGGAGTTCAAGATCAGACTGACCAACATGGTGAAACCCCATCTCTACTAAAAATACAAAAATTAGCTGGGCATGGTGGCGGGCACCTGTAATCCCAGCTGTTCAGGAGGCTGAGGCAGGAGAATCGTTTGAACTCAGGGGGTGGAGGCTGCAGTGAGCTGAGACTGCGCCATTGCACTCCAGGCTGGGCAACAAGAGTGCAACTCTGTCTCAAAAAAAGAAAAGTTGTATTATCTTTTGACATAGACAATATAATCATCCATCCCTGTCGTGCAGATGAGGAAAACTGTGCCAGGATTCATTCCTCAAGCTCAGAAAGGCGAAGTGCCTCGCCAGGATTCAAACTCAGTTTCCTTTATATGAAAGAAAAATGTGTAAATGCTTACTAGCCAAAGATCGGTATGTTCTAAGTACTCAACAAATGGTCTGAGATTTATGCATCCAGGCTCAGTGCTCCTCCTTCTGTACCAATGACACTGCTGAATTTAATTATTTTTCTCTCAAAGATTTGACAACGAATGGCCATGATTAGTGTCATTTCCATCTATCTTCAAGGCCCACAGTAGGTCATTCAGCTGTCCGGACTGCAAATGACAATCCTTTCTAGACCTTCACTGCTCCCATGCTGACTTGCCTTGCCATAAAAATGCTCTTGGCTCCTGGTGGCCTGTCCTTTGCTGTCATAACACCCCAAGCTTCTCTGAAACTGGCTGCAAGGTCAGTGCAAATGCAGGACTCTGTCAGAGCACCCTCCTGAAGGTAACCTATCCACTCCTTCACAAAGCCCCCCGATCTCCCAGCTGTCAGCATCTATGGCTGGCGCATCTCCTTCACCACATGTTCTAGAAAACAGGAGATCTCAGTTGCAGCTTCCAACACTATACCATCCCCAGAGGCAGCCTGTGGACAGAGTTGGTCATCCTTCCCCTACATGGCAGGTAGGGATGCCAACAGGAACTGGCCCCAGGATTACCCCCAGAAGAGCCTGTGCTGGTAGAGGAGACAAGAGAGAATGAAGGCACAGTGACAAGACAGGTAGAAGATGTGGGAGACCATTGGGAATGAACCTTGGTCCATCAAAAACTATCTGGCTGGCAGACACAGTGGCTCACACCTGTAATCCCAGCACTTTGGGAGGCCGAGGCGAGCTCAGGAGTTCGAGACCAGTCTGGCCAACATGGCGAAACCCTGTCTCTACAACAACAACAACAACAACAACAACAAAGCAGGGTGTGGTGGCGAGTACCTGTAGTCCTAGCTACTTGGGAGGCTAAGGTGGGAGGATCGCTTGAGTCTGGGAGGTCGAGGCTGCAGTGAGCCGTGATTACGCCACAGTACTCCAGCCTGGGAGACAGAGTGCGACCTGGTCTCAAAAAACAAATAAACAAAAACCCATCCTGCCAAGCATGCTTACTGTCTAGATGGAGAAACAGAGGTTTGAGGCACCTCCCCAAAGTTACCCAGCAGGGGTGGCGAGAACTTCTCAACATTTCTGCCTCCTGAAGAGGCCGACTGCACTGAGGCCTCCTTTCTCCAGAGGATGGGGGCCATGCCAGTGTGAGATATTCGGCTGCCATGCTTGACTCTCTGGCGGGGGCGGGGGTATGTCTCCTCATGAGTCCTCCCCAGTCTAACAGGGCACTTTGATATTGTAGAAAGGCATTCCCCATCTGGAGTGTTTGAGGAGAAATGAGCCCATGTGAAATACAAAATTGTCAGTAGAAGTCTGGAGCAGATGGGCTGTGAGACGGTGGGGAGGTCCCACAGAGGTGTGGGCGAGCCGCCACTGGGGGTGTGGCTGCTGCTGTGGAGACTGACTGCCAGGCAGCAACTGGGGAGGGTGCTGTGACTCAGGGCTGAATCTGGCCAATTCTGTCTCCAGAGGGCCCAGGCAGGAGCTGGACCCAGGAGTGGGTCCCCTTTACTTAGTCCAGAATCTTCTTCCCTGTTGCCCTCTTTTTATTCTTTCTGGATAGAAATGTGCATGTTCTAGTTTCAGTCTCTCTTTCTCCTCGAAAACAAACACCCTCCTCCCAACACTGGGTTTCAGGCCCAGGCTCTGTGAAGTGGTTCAACTCCATGGCAGGAAAAGGAGCAGGTGTCAGAGAGGACATGGACAGTTCCATGGTCCACAGACCCTTATCTCTTCCATGCGTTAGTGCTGAAGTGCTCAGAGCATTATAGGCAGGGGAGGTCAGGAGCAACAGGGCATTCCCTGGGACCCCTGGATAGGTGCCCAAACTCCTATTTCTCTGCTTGCAAAAGCAGCAGAGCACCTGCTTTCCTGTGCCCCCGATGATGTCATGGCTCCCAGTCATTTGTCTGGGGAGAGCAGCACAGTTGTACAGGCAGTCAGGGCAGACGCTGGCTAGCAGGCAGGTCTCCTGCTCCGAGTATAGGAAGCTCTCTGTGGTAATCTCCCCTTACCTATTGAGTCACAGAGCTCAGTCCTCCAAGCCCTTCTGTTTTTTTTTTTTTTTTTTTTTGAGACGGAGTCTCGCTGGCACCAGGCTACAGTGCAATGGTGCGATCTCAGCTCACTACAACCTCTGCCTCCCAGAATTCAAGCGATACTCCTGCCTCAGCCTTCCAAGTAGCTGCGATTACAGGCGCACACCACCACACCTGGCTAATTTATTTTTGTATTTTTAGTAGAGATGGGATTTCACCGTGTTGGCCAGGATGGTTTCGATCTCTTGACCTCGTGATCTGTCTGCCTTGGCCTCCCCAAGTGTTGGGATTATAGGCGTGAGCCATCGTGCCTGGTCTAAGCCCCTATTTTCTAGTCACAAGGCCACAGTGTCCATCATCACAAATCTACGGCCCTGCTACAAAAGGCACAATGACACGACACAAGGGGAGCTTCATGAGTCGGCGGAGGTTTGCAGTCAGGTAGTGGGAACTAACACCGCTGAGCCTCAGCCCCCCATGGCTTCCCAGCTGCCTCCTGGCCACCTCCACCTGGATATTCTGCAAGCGAGGCACGAGAACAGGGTCTGGAGACACGGAACCGGGCCAATTTGTGCTAACTTCATGAAAGAGAAAACACCAAGGTCTGGGGGCAAAAAATCTGAGGCCAATTCTGCTGACTTCCCAAAGCTGGATCAAAAGCAAAACCCTGGGTCTGGGGGCAGGGACCCTAAGGCCAATTAACACCAAATTCCTAAAGCTGAACCAAGAGGAAAAACCCCATCTCCCCAGCTGGGTGACAAAGGATCAAAACGCTTCTCTCCCAGCAACCCTCCCACTCCACCATGTCTCAGATGGAAAGGGAGGGGGCCTTAGATTGGGACCATCCCTCTATCTGCATAGGGTGCCCATTCACTTCAGCCTTTAATCAGCCACAGACTAAATCCTTCGTCCAGATAAGGGGTAGCTGATAAGAACCTCAAATGGGGTACTTAAAGCCCAGAGAACTTTGTAACTGGGCCTTTGAGTTCCTTGCTCCGGCTCACTCCTACCCTGTGGAGTGCTTTCTCACTTTAATTCCTGCTTTCGCTGCTTCGTTCCTGCATTTCATTCCCCTGCTACTCTTTTTATTATTTTTTTTTTTAGTAGAGACAGATTTCACTATGTTGGCCAGGGTGGTCTTGGACTGACCTCAACTGATCCGCCCATCTAGGCCTCCCAAAGTGTGGGGGTTACCACGTCCAGCCCCTCTGCCACTTTGTTCAAAATGCCAAGGACCTGGACAACTCATAGTCAAGACCCTCCACCAGTAACACAGGTACCAGAAGCCTCACCAGTGCATTCCTCTGCCCCTAACTCTGCTGTGAACTCTTCTCAGCCACCCAACTGCCTGAGGGAGGCAGCCCCAACTCCAGCCCTACAGGTTGTCTTGACTGTCTCCTTGAACCCATCCCTATAGCTACTCCCAGAGCTCAGGCCTCATCCCTGCCCCCTTCACCCCTACATCCTCACTCGGCTCCCTGCCTTCTGTCTACCTTCCTTTCTGGTCTGCAGACCTCCCTGAAGCACCAGCCCTGCCCAAACCACCTTCCTCTTCCCCTCTCATGTCTAACCCTGCCCTCCTCCACGCACTCCGGACACCACTGAGTCAGTCTCCTTCATGCTGTCACCTGCCCTGCCTTTGCTGTCCCTAGACCACCCTTGTCTACCTTCTCTCTGCTGTCTACCTTTCAGGCCCAGCCTATGAGTCATCACCTCTGTATGGCTGTCCCCAATCTCCAGCAGGTTAACAGCTCTCCTCTCAGGGCTTCCTGGTGCCCTGCACAACCCCCTCTGGCAGCACTCACCGTTCCATCTGCAGTGATCTGCTTTGCACATGGCCCTCTTCCCTGGCTCTATCAAAATGCAGATCAGTGGACATCCATATGGGGAAAAAAGAACCTTGGTCCATCTCTTATGCCATATATGAAAAATAAACTCAAAACAGATCATAGACCTAAATATAAAATTTAAAACTACACAACTTCTAGGAGAAAATCTTTGCAACTGTGGATTAGGCGAAGATTTCTTGGATTGGACCTAAAAGGGACAAACCATTAAAAACATCAATAAACTAGACTTCATCCAAATAAAAAACGTCTGCTCTTCAAAAGACACTGTTAAGGAAATGAAAGAATAAGACACGAAGAAAATATTTGCAAAACACCTATCTGACAAAGGATTGTCAACCAGAATATATAAAGAACTCTCAAAACTCAGTAACTCAGTAAGAAAATAACCCAATTAAAAAACTGACAAAGCTGGGTGCAGTGGCTCATGCCTGTAATCCCAGCACTTTGGGAGGCTGAGGCGGGCAGATCACTTGTGGCCAGGAGTTCAAGAACAGCCTGGCCAACATGGCGAAACCCTATCTCTACTTAAAAAAAAAAAAAACAACCAGACAAAAGATCTAACAAATACTCCAGCAAAGAAGATATGTAGATGACGACAGTCACATGAAAAGATGGTCAATATCATTAGTCATTACAGTATGAAAATTGAAACCACAATTACATGCTACTATACACCTATTACAGTGGCTCATATGAAAACTGGCAATGCCAAATGAAGGTGAGTACACAGAACAATGGAAACCTCATACACTGCTGGCAAATGGTAACCACTGTTGAAAATAATTTGGCACATGGTATGGTTTGGCTGTGTCCCCACCCAAATCTCACCTTGAATTGTAATAATCCCCATGTGTCAAGGGCAGGACTAGGTGGAGATGATTGAATCATTGGGGTGGTTTTCCTCATGCTGTTCTTGTGATAGCGAGTGAGTTCTTAAGAGATGTGATGGTTTTATAAGGGGTTTCCCCTTTGCTTGGCACTTCTCCTTGCTGCTGCCATGTGAAGAAGGACATGTTTGCTTCCCCTTCTGCCATTATTTTAAGTTTCCTGAGGCCTTCCTAGTCCTGTGGAACTGTGAATCAATTAAACCTCTTTCCTTTATAAATTACCCAGTCTCGGGTATGTCATTATTAGCAGTCTGAGAATGGACTAATACAGCATACAATTATCCCATGACACAATGACTCTGCTCCTAGATATTTCAGCCATAGAAATGGAGACATATGTCCATGCAAAGACTCATATGTGAATGTTTATGGCAGCTTATTCATAACTGCCCAAACTCAGAAACAACTAAAATGTAAATAGATAAACAAATTGTAGTACATCCATACAATAGAATATGACTCTGCAATATATAGGAACTACTAAAAGACATTACCACATACCTGAATTTCAAAAGCATTACATCAAGTGAAAGAAGTCAGCCTCAGAAGGTTACATGGTGCGTGATTCTATTTGTATAACATTCTGGCAAAGGCAAAACTATAGAGACAGAAATCAGATTAAGCGAATTCCCGGGGCAGGGTGGAGAGAAAAGACTGGCTACAAAGAAACACAAGGCATATTTTGGAGTGATGGGAATATTCTATTAGGTTGGCACCAAAGTAATATGATGTGGTGGTGGTCAAATGTCTTTATAAAGGCTGTCAAAATTCATGTAACTGTACACATCTAAAAGGGTGAATTTTGGCCAGCTGTGGTGGTTCATGCCTATAATCCCAGTACTTTGAGAGGCCAAGGCAGGAGGGTCACTTGAGCCCAGGAGTTCAAGACCAGCCTGGAAAACATAGTGAGACCTGTGTCTCAATTAAAAAAAAAAAAAAAAAAAAAAGGGGGGAAATTTTACCATACGTAAGTTTTACCTCCATAAACAGGAAAAAAATGAAGGTTGTGACTTACTGGCAAGTCACGACATCAATACAGTTAAGTGGGTTGTGACCAATTATATATTGTTGTGAACCTTTTGTTTCAGTTGTGTGTCCATGAACTGGATCATGGTATCTTCATCCTGTGGGTGACAAAACAATTTTTTTTGGGAACCACTGCCTAGTTTGTGGGCTGAGAGCAACTGCATGTCTCACGTCTGCATAGTCACCGCCTCGCACTCGGGGGAGGGGTTGTGGGATACTGTGATATAATAAGCAATATACATTTTAGATTTGTCCCCAGCTGTTGGCCAGGGTTAAAAACACTGTAATTTCCCTAGTGATAATAGCTATAGGAACTTCTTCTATTTTAATAATTGATTTTGTCCCAGTAGGTGGAGGTTGCAGTGAGCCAAGATTGTGCCACTGCACTCTGGTTTGGGTGACAGAGCTAGGCCTTATTCCAAAGCCCGCCCATCCCCAATTAATTATAGTTGTTATGTTGTCCTAATCCAAATCTCAATAGTATTTTTCAAAAAAGATTTAAATAATTAAAATTTTAATCTGGAAGCACTGATGACTGATAACCTGAAAGAATATTTGAATAAGACATCTTAGCACAATGTATTAAAACCAGATTATAAAGCAATGACATTTCACTCCGTGGTTTTAAAACAATGAGAAGAGAAGGAATTTGGTAACAAATGTGAAGAGACACAACTAGCAATGTTTAAAAATAAACCTACTGATAAATATATTAATTCTTACAACTCTGGGACCCAGGCAGGACTGATCACATTGTCTTTATTTCAAAGACAACCTAAAGCAGACCCAAAGAGTGTGAATCCCTTGCCCAGGGCTTCATGTGCATTCTTGATCTCAGAGTCATGGCGTCTGGGAAGTTCTGGTTTGGACACCCTTCAGAGAACCAGTCCTTTAGAGGTCTTCGGCAGGAAGCTGAACCCAGCCACAGAGGGCCTAGCCAACAGCCTGTATACTCATGGCGACCTGGAGTAGGCAAAGGCTCTTTTCTGTGCAGTTTCCTTTTTTCCTACATTACTATCCACTTCCATAATCAGCATTACTTCCATAATCAGCATTACTTCCATAGTGAAATGACTTACCATGCAATCCTGTCGGTGGGGACTAGCTGTTGTAACAATAAACGTACTGAGTAATGAAAATTGTCCATCTATCATCTATCAGTCAATCACCTATCCATCATTTCCTAGCTGTGCTCACTCATAGAGCCTAGAAATGACACCCAGTAGCAATAAACACACCTAGCCCTGGATCTTTGTTTCTGAATGTCATCATCTCTTCTAAAAGAAACCAGGGCTTCCTGGAGAAACTGATAATTCCTGAACTTTTACAGGAAAAGTTCAAGGTGAGTTCATATAAACCAATGATTTAAAAACAAACAAACAAACAAACAAAAAAACAAAGAGTCCAGGATGGGTGCGGTAGCTTATGCCTGTAATCTCAGCACTTTGGGAGGCCGAGGCAGGCGGATCACCTGACGTCAGGAGTTGGAAGACCAGCCTGGCTAACATGGCAAAACCTCATCTCTACTAAAAACACAAAAAAATAGCTGGGCGGGGTGACGCGTGCCTGTTATGCCAGCTACTTGGGAGACTGAGGCAGGAGAATCGCTTGAACCTGGGAAGTGGAGGTTGCAGTGAGCCAAGATCGCACCACTGCACTCCAGCCTGGGCAACAGAGTGAGACTCTGTCTCAAAAACAAACAAACAAACAAACAAAAAACAGAAGTCCATAATGTTATTCCCCAAAGAGAGGGTGAGAAGAAGGGAGTGAGAAAGATAGAGACAGGGAAAATTTATTCTATAAAAAAGAATACTAGCTAATAAACACAGAAGGAATGGTAGAATTAGAAAATTACCAATTTGCAACCCTCAGTGTTGCTATTCAAGCAAGGATGATCCAGGGATGTGGTGTGAAAGGTTATCAGGAACACATAATTATAACAGACTCAGAGAATCACTTCACAGATTACTTATTAATTGTAAGAGAGAAAAATGTACCCTTACGATAGAGAGATCAGGTTGCCATGATCTTACCTAATAATCAAATGTAGCATTCATGGATACTAAGACCCTGACATCATATCCTCCTGACATGCAGTAAGTACACATATTGCCAAAAACTCAAATCTAACCCGAATCTAATCATTGATAAACCAATCAAACATATTTAAATAGGTGGAGAAGCTCTATTTATTTATTTACTTATTTGAGATACAGTCACACTCTGTTGCCCAGGCTGGAGTGCAGTGGCACAATCTCGGCTCACTGCAACCTCCATCTCCCGGGTACAAGCATCTCCTGCCTCAGCCTCCCGAGTAGCTGGGAGTATAGGCACGTACCACCATGTCCGGCTAATTTTTGTATTTTTAGTTGAGATGGGGTTTCACCATGTTGGCCAGGCTGGTCTCAAACTCCTGACCTCAAGTGATCCGCCCGTCTTGGCCTCCCAAAATGTTGGGATTACAGACATAAGCCACCATGCCAAGGGGCTCTATTTAGATTAAATGAGTTGATAAAAGAGATATAATAAAATGCAATATGTACATCTTGACTGGATCTGATTTTAAAAACCAGAAACTATATAAGGTATTTTTGGGCAATTATAATTTTTTTTCTTTTTTGAGACAGGGTCTTACTCCATCGCCCAGGCTGGAGTGCAGTGGCGCAATCATGGTTCATTGCAGCCTTGACATCTCCAGGCTCAGGTGATCTTCCCAAGTAGCTGGGACTACAGGTGCATGCTACCACATCCTGCTAAATTTTGTAGTTTTTGTAGAGATGGGGTTTCACTATGTTGCCCAGGCTGGTCTTGAACTCCTGGGCTCAAGCAATCTGTCCGCCTTGGCCTCCCAAAGTGCTGGGGTTACAGGCATGATCCATTGCACCTGGCAGAAAATTTTTAATAACTATTACATTGGGTAATACTGACTTCTTGCTTATAACGCATAATGTATTATGGTTATGTAGTAGAATGTCCTTATCAGGGATACATGTTGAAGAATTTAGGGGTCAAACATCAATAAACATGTCTGTAACTTACTTTTAAACAATTTGGCCCAAAAAGTGTGTGTTTTTGTAAAAGCACAATTGGCAAATTGTGAATTGGCGTATCTAGGTTAAGGGTTGTACTTTAAGCTTTAATGTAAGCTTGAAGATTTTAAAAATATTTGTATTTTAAAAGAAGGGAGAAGAATACTTCCTTCATAGGGCCAATAGATGTAAAGTTACAGTCACAGTGCCAGACCCCAATAAATAGCCAGACTTAGTAAGTTACAGATTTACTACTACTACTTAGAAGCGTGAAAAGTTCATAATTTTCCTTCCCGAGTGTTGCTGAGTTTTGAAGGGTGAGGACGCCAACCAGGGCTAAGTGGTGGAGGAGTTAGAATCTAAGCCAATTTGGCAGTTCTGTCAAGCCCCTCCTGCTGGACCATTGAAGCAAAATCCATGCAGTCACGGCCAGGCGTTCTCAGCTGGAATCATCTCCTTCTCTGCATCCCGGAGATTTTATTCTAACCCCTTACACCGGCACACTTTACTTAATTAATTCTAAGAACAAAAGAGAATAAAAGTACAATGGATGCCTGGGTCCCCTGCTGGGGCTGGC